CGTGGGGAGGGCACGCGGTCTCCACAGCCTGCCAGGGGAAGGGGAGCCGAGCCTCCCGGCTGGGCTGACGCTGGGCCTGTGCCCCCCCGCCCCGGGTCAGTCACAGGGGGTGAGGGTGGGAGGCCGCCCAGGCTTGGGGCTTAGAATCACAGAATCATGGAATTGCTTAGGTTGAAAAAGACCTTTAAGATCAAGTCCGACTGTTAACCTAACCCTGCCATCCCACCCCTAAACCGTGTCCCTGAGCACCACGTCCACACAGCTTTTGAATGGGGACTCAACCGCAGCCCGTTCCAACCCTTGACAACCTTTTTGGTGAAAAAATTTTTCCTCCTGTCCAACCTAAAGCCTCCTGCGGGAGGCTGAGCCGGGCACCTGCGGGGTCCCTGCAGGGCCAGGGTGCTGCGGGAAGGGGGGAGGCAGGAGGTGCTGTCAAGGCAGCAGGGAGCCAACACAGACTCTCCCCAGCCTGCACGGTCTGCAGGCACCTTGGTCGCTGGGGTTTGCAGACTGCCCCTTCCAGCCAGGGCTGGCTGAGGCCTCTGTGGTAGTTCGGTGCAGTTCACTGCCAGCACTCCTGCTTCAGCCAAAGTTTCCAGCCAGATAGGTGAAAAAAGCATGGTTTAGCTGATTTTGTATTGTAAAGAGCTGAGACTGGTGGTGTCCCATTGGAAACCCTCAGAGCTTTGCGGGCACCTGTACCTCCAAAAGCAGCACGGAGAAGCCTCCTTTGAGACCTGCGTGGCCTCACCTTCATTGCAGAGGCGAGCAGGCTCCCAGGCCCCTGTGCCCTGAGCTCTTCACACTCCCCTAGCACCGGAGGTTGGGCACCCGGCGACCCGCCGATCCTCCAGCCCACCCATACCTACAGCACCCAAGCAATGACCAGCTCATAGTGCTGAGCGGCAGTGGCCTGATCTCTGCCAGGATAAGTCAGAGCCTTCGCATCAGCGGGTGTTGTTAAAGCATGAGACCAGAGTCAGGAGCTGTGACTTTGACTCCCTGCTCTTTCTGTGGCCACAGACCTCCCACGGGGCTTTATAGCAGGGGCTGGCTGGCTGGGAGTAGGTGGTTTGATCACCCTGGTGTTACCTGCAAACTCAGGCTGGGTTTGCCAAGAACTTCAGCCAGAAGAAAAACTGGAGAGCAATAAACTGGCCTCATAGCACACCCAGTCAACCCTGCTGAAGCTGTCTGCCTCGAGCAGCCCCTTGGGGGATGGAAGAAGGGTCCGAAGGGACCCGAGCTGGTGTCTCCAAGCGGGGCTCTGGTGGGGAGAGGCTGTGTTGAGTCTTCACTTCAGCAGAAACATGGGTCTGAGCAGACCATCCATGCTGCTGCTTCACTTAGGATGGGGAAGACACCTGCCCCATGGTGCTTGTTCCTCATCCTGCGTCCCGCAGGTTGGTGTCCACAGCGCCTGGCACCGGTCACCTCTAAAGACCATGAAGCCGTGTCTGCTCAGTGTGTAGCATCACCTGTAGCTGCCAGCCTCTCCTAGACACAAACCAGCCCCACGGCCATGCTCCCAGCCAGCACTGCTGAGCCTCCACAAAGCCGTGGTGAGCCCTCTGAGATGGAGCTGCTGAAAGTGAAGCGACCTATGGCAGGCGTTGCAGGCACAGACCACTCCAGCTCTGGCCCTCTGGTCGGTCAAGGGGGCTGCTGTGAGAAAGCATCGGGCTTTTGCTGCGTGACCAAGGGCAGCAAGCACAGACCTGCCTGCACAAGGACAGTCACATCTCCCCGAGCACTGGGATGTCACCAGCAAAGGCAGTGTCTTTGAACAACGCAGAGCCAACATGTTCTGCCTGCAATCTGCCGGCACAGCTGCCAGCTCATCAGCTGCCCTACCCTGGCAGCTCTGGCCACCGCAAGGAGGGGAGCGAGGCCTCAGCTCTGCCCCAGCACGGCTGGGAGGCAGCGAGCTGCCCCACACCAGCCATGCAGCCACCGCAGAGCCCGGACAGCGAGGAAGCAAGCAGCCCTCCTCTGTGAAATCAGAGCCACCAGTCGCACAGCAGCTGGTGCCCCCCCAGCCCCAAAGACAGAGGGTGGACGCCATTTCCACTAGATCAGGCCCCAGGGGGAGCATGGCTGCGTGGGATCACCCTTTCAGTGGAAGGGTGCATGTTCTCCTGCTTCCTCCCACTCCCTGGCTGCTGCCAAAGCAAGGCGGTTGGTATCTGCTCTGCTAAGGCATGGCAGCGGCATGTCCCCA